CACCCCAGTCCGTACCTTTGTCAGGATCTATCTCGTACTACACTAGACAGCCCAGTCCGTACCTTTGTCGGGATCTATCTCGTACTTCCTGCGTCGTCCCCGTCCTCGCTTGTGGAAGGTCATCTTGAGGCCGTCGGCTCTCTGCCGAGGACAGAAACCACAAACTGGTCAAGGAGATTAGTTCATGACGAGCTTCTGACTCCACACACAGCGCTCTCGCGTCATATCTACGACGCTACTTACTTTTACTGTCACACAAATAGTGCAAAAATTTGATCAGAACTAGGAGCAAACTTAGCAAATTGGTCAATGGACTTTCAGCAATACAACAATTACTTTGATTCCTTGCACAAAACTTGAAATTGATCTATTTTCTAAGACAACACGCAATTCATTTTTAGAATCTACAACTGAACTCATGCCAGCAGGTAAAAAAAATTCTACAATTTAATAGAACGAAACAAAAAGTAAAAGGACATAAACGTGAATCGTCAATTTTACACAAAAAAGGTAATGAAAGAACTCAAATGGCAAAAGCAGCAGCTGAATATCAGTGGCAAACTAGAGTCGAAAAGTTAAGGCAACAAAATGTGAACAGATCCGAAGTTGACAAACGAGGGGGAGGCAGACAGGCAAGCCACCAAAGCACACATAGAAAAAATGTGCAACCGACACCACCGACCACTTAGACAGCCCCGCGACTCATATCTTGACTGTTGTATTGTTGGGGTTTTTTGGTGAGAGTTTTACAGCACTTGCAACACAATAAGGTCATATAAGTGCCGAAGAACAGATGTTCAGTTTTCAGTTGTAGTAGAGGTTTTACGGCACTCGTATCGGCAAAGGTCATATGACCGCCAGAATATTAGAGGTGTTACAAGATAGTAACAAACACAAAAAAGAAGGAGAGACAAGGACGATAGGGGTTTGATAGGACAGAAGGAGCAAACCACACCAGAGCACCGCCAACCACCCACTCTCTTGTCTATCATACCAACTTTCTGTACTGATCTGTGCTGTATTCTGACAGACTACACGTACTGACCTGTGCTGTAATCTGACAGACGTACTGACCTGTGCTGTATTCTGACAGACGTACTGACCAGTACTGTATTCTGACAGACGTACGTACTGACCTGTGCTGTATTCTGACAGACGTACTGACCAGTGCTGTATTCTGACAGACGTACTGACCTGTACTGTATTCTGACAGACGTACTGACCTGTACTGTATTCTGACAGACGTACTGACAAGTACTGTATTCTGACAGACGTACGTACTGACCTGTGCTGTATTCTGACAGACGTACTGACCTGTGCTGTATTCTGACAGACGTACTGACCAGTGCTGTATTCTGACAGACATACTGACCTGTGCTGTATTCTGACACACTACAGAGACGTACTGACCAGTACTGTATTCTGACAAGACTACAGAGACACTTCGTACTGACCTAATGTACCCTGTCTTGGTTTTCACAACCAGAGAAGAAAGTTTGTTGCAGAAATATTTGCTTTTATTTAACATTTTGCTGCCTTGTCTCGCCGATTGGCAATGTTTACCTCCCAGTTTGTTAAGATTTTCCCCAAAATGTCTTTGTCTTTGTACAGCAAGAGTTTGTACTATATGAGCCTTGTGACGGTAAAGTGTTAAGCGCACGAAGCATTCACAGAGTGTTAATGAGCTGTATTAACGCAATATTGTTATTATCATCAACTTCTTCAAAGCGTCACAAAATACTTTGTCTTGCACAAAACAGTTCTCTGCAGCAGAGAAACACACACTACCTGCATTCTTAGGATCATGTTACTAGTCACGTTGTGTGTGTGTGTGTGGTGTGTGTGTGTGTGTGT